ACCCCTCAGCCCGCCGTGTCCCCCGCGAGCGGATGGAAGGATTTCGGATGTTTTTACAGGCGCTATTAATACACACAATATTTCCGTGCTATTCTGGAGATTTATTTGCGATATAAAGTAACTACTCGGACTTGAAGTTATAATGGAAACTGCAGGCGAGGGGGGGGACCAAGGAGGCTGGGCCGGCTGGGAGGGGGACTCCCTCGCTTCCCGGGCCTCTCCCTGCACATCAATCACGACCCTGGATATTTTTATACCAATAATTTTAAAATAAATGGCCCAGGCAATGCTTCCTGGACGGTTTCCCCTCCCAGTTCAGAGGTTACTTAATAAACCTGGGAGCGAGCGGGATGGGGAACCGGGGGCTGCGGCCGCCCTCGGTTTATTTAATTCCGAGGCCGGTTCCTCCCCGTTGGACTCTGTGCCCTGCCCTCAGATGCCACCTCGGGCTGGAGCCCTAACTATAGCCTGGGACGCCCTGGGTTCAGGATGCCTCTCCCTCTCCGCTCCCCAGCCCACCCCCGTCTTTTCTTTTCGGATTTCGAGGAGAAACCTCTCCCAGGGTCTGGTGCTTAAACCGCCCAGTTGGGCTTCTTTCTAGACGGGACCCTGGGCGCTCATCCGATTACCAGCCCAGGAGGAAGAGCCGGGGCTGGGAGGCGGGAGCTGGGTGCCGGAGGGGAGGGCAGGGCCTGAGAAGTCGCCTGAGGGCCAGGCCAAACCGTCCTGCTCTCAGGGGGCCTTGAAATCAGCGGGGCCCTGAGCCCCAGATGCGAAGTCCCTGAGGCCTTGCGACGTGTCCTGCGGCCAGCTCATTCTCACCACCCCCCAGGGCCATCAGGGCCATCGACTGCTTCACCAGCCGCCTCCCGCCCCGGTTTCCCCGCCAGCTCCCTCACTGCTTAGTAAGAGGCCCAAGTCTTTGTTCATAAGCCCAGGTCTGTGCCTCCTGCAAGGGCAGGTGGAGGCTAACACGCTCCTGCCCACCCCACAGAACCCTGCTGGGCTGTCCTCTGTGCGTCTCTACAGGGATGGGGATGGCGCTGGGCTTGGAGGGAGGGAGGGAAGCCG